GCGGAATAATTTTCCCGGTATCGCATCGCAATTCGCGATGTATTTTCAGCCATTTGCTACGCATATTTTTTATGAATCGCCGCTCTCTTTCTCTCTCTCTCTCTCGTCCTCCCTCCCTCTCCCCCTCCAGCTGAGTCACTCTCTCTTGCTAGCTCCCTCACCCCCTCTCTCTCTCTCTCTCTCTCGCACACACGCACGCACGCACGCACGCACGCACGCACGCACGCACGCACGCACGCACACACACACACTCTCCCCTCCTTCTTCCTCTTCTTTCTCACAAGTGGCAAGACGAGGTTCACCAGAATCGCGAATACGTACGACGATGTATTCGTCTCCGGAGCCCGTCAGGCTCTTCACGATCTTCGTAATAAAGTGCGAGCGCGACGGCGTGTTGTGGCGGCTGCACTTCAGTGGCAGCGCGGCGACCGTCGCCACGTTCAGATAGAGTGCGCAGCTGTCGGTCGGCGACGGGTGCAGGCTACTTACCGCAGCCTTGAACACCTGTGAACACGTACGTAGAACACCTGTAAACACGCACACGTATAGAACATCTGTGAACACGCACACAAGGGTAGAAATTAACTTTTGAATAAGGGAGTCCTTTGGATTCCCTGCCCTTAAAAAGAGGGCGTCCGAAGTCTAAAGTTCAAAACAAATAGAGCACTCGGAGAGCGCAGACCTCCACCAAGGCAGCTGAATTCTCTCACTGTGGAAATTTTTATTAATTAATTAATTAATTAAATAATTAATTGGATCCGGATCACCACCAAAATGTAATGAATTCTAAGTTACCCCATATCTGACCTATCCTGAGAATTTAATTAATTAATTAATTGGATCCGGATCACCAATGGTACTATCTAATATGCCGGACCGTACCTCGCCTACTCCACTAACGAGTCTAGGGAGTCGCCTACGCCTACTCCCTAACCCTAACCTTAACAATATCAGATAGTTACCAGGGTGCGTTCCGGTATACCGGACCGTACCCAGGGTACGTTCCGGCAGTACCCAGGGAGACATAGACCCTATCAGCCATAGTAATAGTATGGAAGTCTGGGGACTGTTTAGAACCAGCTAGTTCGTTGCGATGCCAACGTGATATCATACTTCAGCTCTTTATAAAGGCAACATAATTTGGACAGACTTTTCGTTGCTTTGGTATAATACCTAATGTGTGATTTACCATTTGATTTCTAATTACCGAACACACCAAATGTTCACCAATTTTGACACCAATAAATATAAAAGAGGAGAATACAATATTATGAATTTCACAAATCTTGTTTCTCGTATAATATTGGAAATAGACTTACCACCAAATCCCCTGCTATTCAACTCTTCTCCCTGTATAATAGTTGGTTGGATCCCAAGTGTGTCACCCACCTTTCTAATTTCCTGTAAATTTAATATGAAAAGAGAGTAAATTTCATCAATAAAATCAATATTTTTAATAATAAAATCCTCCTATATTCATACAAATATACGTCTTTACACAATAACCCGATAAATGATCATCTAAACTCTTCAAGAGTATTGAAATGTTTATGTAATTAGTAATGGACCAGAAACCTTATATTATATTTAGAATTTCACATATTGGAATAAAAGATTTATTAATGAAATACCAACAAAATAACAACGGAATGACCAGGAGGAAATCATTGAATGACAATGGGATGTAGAACTGAAAGTAGATGCCTATTATGACATTGCAACACGGCTCACCTCGACACAACGCACCAGTGAAAAAATAACACGGGGGCCACGGGGCGAAATCGCCCCCGAAATTCCCAAAAGAGCTCCCGAAAATGTGATTACGGGGGCGACAGTTAAAAAGATGAAAGTGTCAATGACACTGTAGCTCACCACAAAAAAGGACACAAATGATTGAGTACTTTTAGTTTTAATTGAGCAACCATCGACGTACATTATAGAAACGATTGCCATCTGTATATCGCAATAATAATTTATAAACCAAAATGAATCACAATTTGTGACCGTAGATGGCGCTATACCCGCTTTGTAGCGATGGCGCTTGAAATAAATAGGTTATCCTTCCTCTCTCTCTCTTTCTCTCTCGCTCTCTTTCTCTCTCTCTCTCTTCCTCCCTCCCTCCCTCTCCCTCTAGCTGAGTCACCCTCTCACTGCTAGCTCCCTCACCCCTCTCTCTCTCTCTCTCTCGCACACGCACACACCACACACACACACACACACACACAGCCACACACACACACCACACACATACTCCCCTCCTTCTTCCTCTTCTTTCTCACAAGTGGCAAGACGAGGCTTCACCGAATCGCGAATACGTACGACGATGTATTCATCTCCGGAAGCCCGTCAGGCTCTTCACGACTTCGCTAATTAAAGTGCGCGAGCGCGACGGCGTGTTGTGGCGCGCTGCCACTTCAGTGCAGCGCGGCCAGACCGTTCGCGCACGTTCATGATAGAGTGCGCAGCTGTCGGTCGGCGACGGTGGCAGGCTACTTACCGCAGCCTTGAACACCTGTGAACACGTACGTAGAACCCTGTAAACACGCCACACGTATAGAACATCTGTGAACCACGCGCACAGGGGTAGAAATTAACTTTTGAATTAAGGAGTCCTTTGGATTCCCTGCCCTTAAAAGAGGGTGTCACGAAGTTCAAAAAGCTAAAAGATATTAACAACTAGAGCACTCGGAGAGCGCAGCCCTCCCCAGGCCAGCTGAATTCTCTCACTGCCTGAAAATTTTAATTAATCTAATTAATTAATTAAATAATTATTGGATCCGGC